ATCGAGTTTCCGTCGATGCCCCTCTTGGCTATTCGGACCATTGTCTGATCCGGAGTGTGGTGCCACTCACGCTCCCCTCGCGGTTGCGTTCTGCAGGTTGCCGCCGTGTTTGGCATTACAGGTCGGCGGATTGGGACGGAATGCGGTCTTTCTTTGCTTCCTACCCATGGTTTACTTCTCGCCGGATGATCCCAGTGCTGTTGCTCACTCTGTCACTGATGTGGTGCTACAGGGAATGGAACTATTTATTCAATCATCTGTGGTACTCTTCGGAGGCAGATCTGAGCCTTGGTTTGGTCGCTCCTGTAAGACTGCTTTACGCAGTAAACAGGAGTGTTATCAAGCCTGGGCTGCGGCTTCGGCGACTCTGGATGTAAACACCAGCATACTTAAAAAGAAGTATAACTTCGCCTCCAGGTCCTTCAAAAGAGTTACTGCCAAGGCAAGTTGCATTCTGGTCTCTCGCCAAGGCTGTCCAAGGGAATTTCTGTAAGCCATCACTACCATCTCTGCACAGGAAGGACGACTCACTGGCCCACGACGCAAAAGAGAAAGCCGACCTTTTAGGCTCCCTTTTTGCGTCCAACTCGACTGCTGATGACGGGGAGAACACACCGCCGACCATCCCGCGGTGTGACCGCGGTGTGAGTGCTCCATGCCGGATGTGCGGTTCTCACAGCGCTCGGTTCGCAGAGCACTCCTCTCCTTTGACATCCACAAGTCGAGTGGGCCTGACGGAATCTCCCCAATTGTGCTGAGGACGTGTGCTCCGGAGTTGGCACCGGTTCTTACGCGTCTTTTCCGGTACTCCTCCCTAGGCGTAGTCCCGAAATCATGGAAGACAGCTTTTGTCCACCCGATCCCTAAAAAAGGCGACCGCTCAGACCCGTCCAACTACAGGCCTATCGCCATCACCCCCTTGTTCTCCAAAATAATGGAATCCGTTATAAACTGCCACCTCATGCGGTACCTTGAGGATCACCAGTTTATTAGTGACCGCCAGTACGGTTTTCGTCGAGGTCGATCAGCTGGTGATCTTCTGGTCTACTTAAGTCATAGATGAGCGGAGGTAGTAGAGTTCAAGGGGGAGGCATTGGCCGTTAATTTGGACATTGCGAAAGCCTTCGATCGGGTTTGGCACAAAGCGCTTCTTTCGAAGCTCCCTTCCTATGGGCTTCCCGAGAAATTATGCATTTTGGATCACCAGTTTTCTTGCAGATCGGAGCATCAAGGTCGTTGTAGACGGTGCATGCTCCGACTACAAGCCTATTAACGCTGGTGTTCCACAAGGCTGCGTGCTATCACCAACGCTGTTTCTTCTGCATATCAATGATATGTTGCTAACTGGTAACATTCATTGCTATGCGGATGACAGCACTGGTGATGCTCTATACACCGGCCGTGCCAATATTTCTCGGGAAAACGTCGCTGAGTACCGGAACAAACTTGTGTCTGAAGTCGAGTCGTTCCTGAACAAAGTCTCGGATTGGGGGCGACTAAAACTAGTACAGTTTAATCCTCAGAAGACACAAGTTTGCGCGTTTACCGCTAAAAAGAACCCCTTTGTCGTATCTCCTCAGTTTCAAGGCACTCCCCTTCTTGCCTCAGCCAGTATCGGTATCCTCGGAGTCGACATATCGAGTGACGTGCAGTTTCGTGGTCACTTGGAAGAGAAGGCCAAATTGACCTCTAAAAAGCTTGGCGTGCTCAGCAGGACGGGACAGTATTTCATGCCAGCACACTGCCTGCAACTTTACAAGGCGCAGGTTCGGCCTCACATGGAATACTGTTCCCATCTCTGGGCAGGGTCTCCCCAGTGCCAGCTCCTTCCACTTGACCGCATCCAGCGCAGAGCGGCTCGAATCATCGACGACCGAGCCCTTTCCGATCGGCTCGATTCACTGGCACTGCGAAGAGATGTTGCATCCCTTTGCATTTTCTGTCGCATCTACCATGGGGAGTGCTCTGAGGAATTGTTCAGATTAATCCCAGCCGCCAAATTTCACGAAAGCACATCGCGGCAGAACTCCCGATACCATCCACACCATCTGGATGATTGGCGGTCCACCACTGTGCGATTTAGAAGATGTTTTCTTCCTCGCACGACTTCCTTGTGGAATTGATTACCATCAGCGATTTTTCCGGACCGATACGACTTAGGGACCTTCAAGAAAAGAGCGTACTCCTTTTTAAAAGGTCGGCAACGCATCTGCAGTTCCCTCCCTGGTGTTGCAGTTGTTCATGGGCGGCGGTAGTCACTTACCATCAGGTGAGCCGCATGCTCGTTTGCCCCCTCTCCTATAAAAAAAAAACCTTAGTCACAACTAGCGAAATCTGGTGAGCTTAAGAATATTAGCACTCATTATAAATATATAAAAATAGAGCCCACCTGTTGTGTGCAGTTCTTGCCAGCCCAGCCATCAACACAGTGGCACACGTAGTCCACTCGCGAGGAGCAGCGCTGCTCACAGCGCGCCCCGTTCTGACACGGGCCCGTCGGCGCGGTCGCGTTGCTTTGCGGGAGATCGGGGTCCACAGTATCCGTAGCATCCGCAGTATCCGTACCATCATCACGCACAATCACCTCGTAGCACGGGTCCGGCAGCTTGCACTCGTCACCGCAGTAGCCCGGCGAACATTCGCATCTGCGGGTATATTTATATGAGTCAATATTGACATAACAGGACAACATGCAGGATTTATCTATCAAAAAATTTGTAAGCAAAAATTGTTCAGTAAGAATAGAATAAAATATAATAGAATAGAATAGAATAATTTTTATTCAATATTGATTATTACATAATTCTTATTGAAAGTCATTTTTTATTTACCACTGGTTCGGAAAATACCTATGTCCTGGGAAGAACCAGCAAGGAACCCAGCGGGACTTTTTTTTCAAACAATTCACTTAACAATAATTTCGTTTATACAATTTTTAAATTATTTTTCATAGAACCAGCATGGTAGCGATCACCTTATTCCCAGGGGTTATTTTCATTCATGTATTCCTTGATATTATAATAACCCTTTTTGTACAGTTTTTCTTTAATAAAACTTTTAAACTTGTTTATTGACAAAATTTGAATATGTTCTGGGATTATGTTGAAAAAGCGTGTACATTGACCCATAAATGAATTACTGATTCTGTAGAGTCTAGTAACTGGCATTACAAACTTATGTTTGTTCCTAGTGTTTAAAGTATGCACATCTTTATTCTTATTAAAGCTATTTATGTTTTTATGTACATACATTACATTTTCATAAATATATTGCGATGCCAAAGTTAATATGTTTATTTCTTTAATTTTTGTCTGAGGGACTCTTTACAATTTAAGTTATAAATTGCCCGAACGGCTCTCTTTTGCAAAACAAAAGGGATATTAGGGATATTATACTAATAAAGAGTACATGATTGATATAAAATGTAAAATTAAATATGAAAACATTAAGAAATATTCTTAATGTTTTCATATTTAATTTTACAACATATTATAATGTAAATTATTGTTTAAATAAAAATTGTTCGGTTGGAAGCTGGATCTTTTCAGGGCAGTGGTTTTTTCCGAACCAGCGGTAAAAGCATAAATTAATTTCGATAAATATTCTTATAATGAATATTAGTTAAAAATTATTGTCTTCTATTCTATTCACAATACTGAAATCCATTTGTAGAGAGAAATTGAAGAGTATGTTGTGAAACCGAATCTATAGTGAATGAAGTTTGTTTAGTTTCGTTATAATTAGAGACCCCGAAACAAAAGAGTGAGAAAGAGAGAAACTAAACAAACTTCATTCTCTCTCAAGCACTACACTGTTAAGGACTGGTAAAAATAATATATTATTCAAATTACAGTCAACTGGACTCTCTATATTACAACCCAGTACAACTGTTCAGCGACAGATATATAATCAGTGTGACCATATGTGGCAGGTTCCTGCCATTTTGGCAGGATTGGCATTGGCCTCTTATTTTAGCCTGTGGCATGATCGGTTGACGTTTTATAAAACCTGGGAGTATTGGGGTATTAAAAATATATTTCATTATGGCAACTTAAAATGACGAAAATTGCAACCCTAGATATTTCGCCAGCATGTTGGGGATTTCCCTGTATTTCTCGATTTCTCGTATTATGCTTCTATCACATTTAATAAACAACTTTAAAAAAAATTGTGTATAAAGTTGATAATCTTAACACGAGTTGGTTAATGTTTCAATCAGTCATAAAAGAGACGTACTTTAGTATGGTATTGAATTAGATTTCATTATCACCATGAAATCTTGTTAATAATATTTCGTGGACGATAGTAATTATAGGTGGCGGCGATGAAGCGAAAATAAGAAAGGGCGTATAGAGCGAAGTGGAAGCAAGATCTTTTATTTTCATCATGGATCTCAAAAGCTAAAGATGATCCAGACTGTGTACTGTAACTGCAAATTGGAACCCCGGCTGTCCGCTTAAAGGAGCATGCCGCTACTAGTAAACATTAACAAAATATGAGTGGATTCAACATGCGAAAGGATATTCTCTAAAGTAAATGTAATTAAGACAAAAACACGAAACAAATTTATAAATAAACATTTAGCGTTTATCTTGTACGTTAAACAAGCATGGCGATTGTATTGCATTCGAACCAACGAAAGAAATGTTTAATTTTAATTTCAAAAATATAGCATTTATATGTGTATTTTGACTTTTCTTAGTTTAATACAATGGTAAATAAAGTTGGCAGTATTTAGGCATTTTTCATTACAGATTCTGGCAGGTTTTTAACCAAAGTATGGCAGGATCTGTATTTTAAAGATGGTCACACTGTATATAATGTAAACTTGGCGAATATTATTCTGCAGCTAGTATAAGAGTAGATGTTGTTCTAGTGAGTGAGTACGCGAGAGGCTCACGTGTAGGAGCCGGGCAAGTTGCGGCAGCGGCCGGGCCCGCAGTCCACCAGCGCCGCGCCGCACTCGTCCACGTCAGTCTCGCAGCGCGCGCCCGTCCAACCTGCAATGCACAAACACACGCAACATATCTGTTACATCTGTTACGCGTAACTCTTCGATAAACACACACAAATATAATAAGTAACTAAGGTATTATATAAATGTACGCGGCTTTAGGGTAGACCAACGGCCACCCCAGCCGCATCTTATCCTACTGTCGCTGATATAACAAGATAGGTGCAATGTTACATTAGACGCATCGCCCGAATATCATTCAGGCCGGAAACTGAACGGCGCCGTTTACTAAAAGGCCTACACTGTTTATGTAGTTTTATAGATTTATGTAAATAAATTATGTAAAGAGTAAGAAACTAGAGGAAAGATATCTATGTCTATGGACCACAGAATCCACCGACCATCAGGTGGATTGTGTGCACGTTTATCACTCATATTCTATTTAAAAAAAACTACGTTAAAACATGCATTTAATCGGTCCCAAGTATAGCTTGCCTGGGTCATGGTTGATTGTACTGTTTTTAAAATAGGAATGTAACAACTTTAAACTGTTGAGTATCGAGTTTTTTGTACTATAGAGAAAAATAGGAAGAAAAAACAAAGGAAACCAACACTGCGGATAAGGTTTTTTACAAAAATTATGCAGCCATCGAGGCGTTACAAATATCTCATGAACGCACTTTACAAGGTTAGTGAGCACCTGATCGATGAACTAGTGCCGAGGCAGTTACCGTAACGAGGAACTCTTTGGTTTACACCGAAGAAGTAACAGGTTTTCAACAAAGAATTGCTTAATAAGGGTTATTATATTACTAAAGAATATATGATTGATAATAACCCCTGAGAATTAGGCGATTCTACTATGCTGTTTCTAATTGTTTTATAATTGAATATTGTATAAAATATAAAATACCGTATTGAAAATTAATTTAAGAAAGGCCCGCAGGGTTTCTTGCTGGTTCTTCAGGACGGAGATTTTTTCCGAACCAGTGGTAAAACTTAAATGACTTTCAATAAGTATTCTTGTAATTCTATCTATACAAATAAATAAAATTGGAGTGTCTGTTTGTAATGTCAAAATGACAGCTTTTTATTAAATGCATATGAAAGTATATACGGTACTAATAACAAAAATACAATTTTTAAAGTTTTTGTCTGTCTGTCTGTCCGTTTGTCTGTCTGTTTGTTCCGGCTAATCTCCGAAACGGCTCGACCGATTTTGACGGGATTTTCACAGCTGATGTCACAAGGAGTAACTTAGGCTTACTTTTATTTATTTAAAAAAAAAGAATTAGGGTTCCGCGCAAAAAAATTAAAACCCCAAATAACACGCATGCGAAGTCGCGGGGAACAGCTAGTATTCAATAAAATGAATCTATTCTATTCTATTTGAACAAATTCTATATAGTAAAATCAACAATAATTCAGGGAGCAACCTCAATTATTATTTTTTCGGATGGCTTCAATTGATAAACGCATTTGTTAAGAGTTATCAAAAAGAAAACATTTTTTAATGTAATTGCATTTAATACTTAGTTTATTTTACATTGATTGAGCCGTCGCTCGAAAGCCAAGAGCTTGCTGTAAATTTTAAAGCACAAAAATAACCTTAAGTAACCTTGGGGTAGGACCCCACCATCATCAACTAAATTATTTAGCGATACGTCCAGATTTAAGGAACAAAGACAAAACTGTCCGATTATTTTGTATCGTATCGATAAATGCCGCTTCTGCATATTTACACGTTCAGGGTTACCCCCTGAATTACTGTTATTTTGCGGATGGTTTAAAGCGCACTTGTAAACGTTACCAAAAAGAAAACATTTTTAAAGTAATTGCATTTAACATTTAATCATTGAAGCTATATATTTTGTTTTAATTATATTTTCATTGTGCTGTAGCTCGAGGGCTAAGAGATTACTGTAAATGTTATAGTACAAGAGCAACCTTAAGTCTCACCTCGACATCATAAATTGAATTGTTTAGCCACAAGTCCAGAATATAGGGAACAAAGACAAAAATTGTCTGTTTATTTAGGATTACTGCTGCGTTAACGTTATCAGCAGTGAAATTGTGTAACTTTGATGGGAATCGTTTACCGGTGGAAACATAACTACGTCATGTTTTTACGTTATGATAGTATTTAAAAAAAAACATCTGCTTATAATCGAGCATGATACATTTACATAATATAACGACATAAACAGTCAAACGTCAAAACGAAACCACTATCCCCATTCAGACCAAACACAATCGCTTTAACTGTTGTTTTATTATCAATTTTCAATCACTCGTTCATTTATCTATTTACTCATTACAGAATATCAAAGTCCACTGCAGAACACAGGCCTCCCCCATAGTGTTAAATAGAGGGGATATTTGCCATAATTGTCAGCCTTACGCAAGTTGACAATTGCAGATTTTCATTTTTTATATAGAATAAGGGTGATAAACGGGTACACAGTTCACGTGATGGTAAGTAGATGCTGTGGCCCATAGCACCTACATCTATCCTCGACTAAGAATCAAATGCGTTGTCACCCCTGACGACTGAGATAAAATGCCTCGTTTCCAGTAAAAAGGGTCTCCGGTGCTCGAATACGAAACACAGCAGCACTTAGCTGCTATTTTACGCTGGTATTATTTCATTTATTTAAGTTGTTATTAGAAAGATTCTGATGTCCAGGTCCTGTCGCAGTTTCCCTCTTTCGCCTCTTACGATTATCTGGAGATGAAACGTGGTGTTAGATTCTCTGATGCCACCGCTACACGCCATGTCAAACGCATTATTCAATAAAATGAACAATTTTATCTATGAACATCAACAGCCTACTTGATAAGCGTTCTTTACATTTAGTATCATCAATTATTGGTAAACAAAATAATTTTTATAAAATTACAGATATAATGTCATATCAGCAGGGCTAGCATGGGCAGGAGACAATTTTATCCCCGGGGAAATGAGAAAATATTTATCCCCATCGCTTAGTTTTACCCACCCTTTGAGCATAGGCACACCGGTTTTTTTTTTTTTTTATAGGAGAGGGGGCAAACGAGCATGCGGCTCACCTGATGGTAAGTGACTACCGCCGCCCATGAACAACCGCAACACCAGGGGAATTGCAGATGCGTTGCCGGCCTTTTAAAAAGGAGTAGGCTCTTAGGATATAATACCCACAGTAGATAAAATGGAAATAGACTTAGATAGATATTTTATATGAATATAAGCTGAAACTCACGTCCAATGAACTAGGATAGAATTGTCCCTTTCAAATGTCAAAAAAGCATAACTTTTTAACTTTCTTTTGGCTCCATGCTACGGACGGGGGATATAATGTCTACTCGTTATGTGAAACGGGGATATAATTCTCCCCGTCGCTGTGCTATGGCATAGCGAGAAGACAATTTTATCTCTTGTCAGTGGATATAATCGGAGGATAAAATTTTTGTCCCCAGCCCATGCTAGCCGCAGATACGATAAAATGAATACATTTGCAATTGGTATAGTTCAATTGATTCCGCGTATAAATTATTTTTCAAATTTTTATTTATATTCATGAAAAAAATTTGTAAAGAATAAGGAGAAACCTGGTTGGTTATTAGAGACAATTTTGAGTTTTAATTGATACTGCACAATTACAAAAATTCTTAGTTACGGCGCAGTTACCGCGGGTTTAAATCCCACACGGCACAAGTATGGCACATATGATTTTTTTTAAAACCTTACCTCCACACTAGGATTTTCTCCTGTATCATTGGGGCAGTTTAGATACATTTATTGCACACTGACAAACATCTAGAACTGGAACAATTACTTGTAGGCTATACAAATACTTGTTTCGTGCAGGGTTCGAATCCGCGGCCCTCATACTCGTGACTAATCGCTAAGCCACTGCGCCACGGAGTCGTCTGTTGTCCCAGGTCTGGATGTTTACAATTGCCTCCACTATACAGAAGAAAATCCTAGATGGGGGTAACGCTTTTTTAATATTAAAAATTAAATTAAACAGTATGGTTTAGAGTCCAATTTTAACATTTAGGAGTATATTTAAATTAAATCATACCTAATAGAATAGCTAGGGCCACCACTCTCCACATAATGGCTTTACACTTGCTATTTTCACTTCACTATCGGCAGTAAATGCGTTTATCCACTAAGCACTCACGACACCCGCCCATTATTTAATTTACTACACTTAATTAGATATTAGGGACGGACATTAGCGTCCGCCTCAAACTTGGCATTTGGTGCAAGCACTAGCTGCAAGGCGACGGGCACTCACTAACCTCAATATCTGCGCTGCGGCCAGTGATTCACTAACTGTGATGACATTAGTCGGAACTATTTCCTTAAACTCGCTATATCTGGCGAGCCGCGACGTCACGTCAATAAAAGAATGACTCTGATTGAATTTATGAATTATAATGAGGACACTAGCTGTAAATAGATGGAGTAGTACTTACTATGTGTACTTGAGAGTCACCTTTTAAAATAAGTATATAATAACCGGAAAATTTAATAAGTAGCTTAAGAGTCAGTGAGCGGCAGACTTACGGTATTTCAATAAGCTTCACGTTTTTTTCAGTTGATCCCCTATACCCGTGGTAGATGAAATGGGGCTTTTTGACCGGCGGTTGGTATAGAGAAGCTCAGGTGTGAAAGGTGTAAAAAAAATAAAATATAAATCAGACATGGACCCTTTCCCCAAACAAAAATAGTAAAAAAGACTGGATTAGAGCGAGTGCTTTATCTAGTATATAGTACGCGCTTATGGACGCCACTGAAGTTTGTTGTCTGCCTGGGTGATAGAACCTCAATATACGTAATGCTATGCAAAATATATATGTCAAATAATATTATCAACAACATATCTAAATTGCAGCTTTATTGAAATAACGTACATTTTGAAGAAAAAATTGTACTTGTCAACCTATCTGCCATGACCTTGGAACCGCCATAAGTCTGCCAATGTCACTTTTTAGAAACTTATTGAATATTTCAAGATCAAATCAAATCGGTAGACTTATTACTTTCACGTTTTTTTT